CAAACTAGCGCCAACTTCGTTTTTGCAAGGACAGACTGAAAAGACTCTCGCCGCTGTTTGCAAGTTCGCTGATGATGTCATCAGCGGTAAGGTTAGTTTGTCTGCTCCTTCTTTACTCGCAGTAACAAGCTAGTTGAGCATCAATGTTGAAGCAGAATTAATTTACTAATCAATTTGCTTAATCCCTTTTAAACTGAAGATTAAGCCTCAGTCTTCTCCAGAGGGTCGTTTTACTCAAATACTCTCAGTTGGGATTGGAGGTTCGGCTTTGGGCCCACAGTTCGTCGCCGAAGCATTGGCTCCTGATAATCCTCCTCTAAAGGTATTTGTTCAATTATAATTCCATTCTCTCTGAAATTTGCTTTTCAAAAAGAAGGTTTTGATCAAAATTTGAGATAAAATTGTCCAGTTGAAGCATTAGCTTCTTACCCCTTGTTTTGTAAATTGAATTGTGCTTTGCATTTGTTTATTCACAATGATGTTTAGTCTGCTTGCAGTAGTAGGATACTGATATTTGTCATCTGAATTGGCAGATAAGATTTATTGATAATACAGATCCTGGTGGAATAGATCATCAGATTGCACAGCTTGGTCCTGAGCTGACTTCTACCCTTGTAACTGTGATTTCAAAGGTCTGTATTAAGTCATCCTTAATATCTACTTACCTTTCTTTGTGCTTGTTTTATTCTTCTTTACTTACTTGTTTGATGGACTATATATAACATATATTTTTTATTTATCAAATGAAAACTTACACCACTCAGAGTGGAGGTACCCCAGAAACTAGGAATGGTCTGTTGGAAGTTCAGAAAGCCTTCCGTGAAGCTGGTCTGGAATTTTCAAAACAGGTTTTGATCTCAGGTTCTTGTTTCTGCTTTTATTTGTTTACCCTGCTTCAGAGATTCATTTTAAAATTTTACCTCGGTATTTGATTCAAGATAGGTTGTAATTGGAGGATATGAAAAGGCTTCATAACTAGAGTTGGGTTTAGATATAGATGCATGTCATTTGGAAGTATTCTTTCATAAATGTTGAAACCACGTATATTCACTGTGTACACACATGGGCTTTAGCTTTTCTATTGTTTAACACTTTAACTGGCTGATGTATGTTCTGCCACCATCATGAACAGTATTGTACAAATACTTGTATGATTCCATGATCTTTTTTCCCTAATAAAATTGCTCTTATCATTGAATAAAAGGAAAGGTTTATCACGTTTAGTTAGCTTGTTGAGTATTTGCGAGTTATTAGATGGTAGCTTGAAATTTTAAGCTGGAAGCCCCATCTGAATCTATACTTAGTTTGTTATGTATAGCCCCTGACATAGAGACGTCACTTTTTTTTTTGCTCAGCATAGCCAAGTGGAGTTTTTGGTGAGGCTTGAACTTTGGTTCTTTCCAAGGTGCTAATGAGTACTCCACCAACTAAACCAACCCATGTTGGCCATAGAGAATTCACTTGGTATTACATAATCAATTATTGTGTTTAGATGAGAATTTTTTCTTCTTGCCTGGTTCTCTTGTACTCTTGAAGCAGATTTTCGTTGTAATTTGATCCTGAGATTTATGTGCTGTTTATTTACACATTCATGCAGGGTGTTGCTATAACACAAGAAAATTCTTTGTTGGACAACACAGCGAGGATTGAGGGTTGGGTTGCCAGATTTCCTATGTTTGATTGGGTTGGTGGCAGGACATCTGAAATGTCTGCTGTAGGTCTACTTCCAGCAGCACTTCAGGCATGTAGTCCATGGATTTAATATTTGTGGTTATCAGAGCACTTTCAGACTGTTCATCCAAGTGAATATTTCTGCAGGGGGTTGACATATGAGAGATGCTAGTTGGTGCATCTATGATGGACAGGAGCACAGTGGTAAATTTTGGAATGATGTTTTATAGTTGCGTTTTAACATATTTTGTGTTGTTTTCAATTGTTTTATTAGGATAGAATTGAATCATGAAAATTGCAATTTTTATTTGGTGACTTTAGGTTACTTGCCTATTTTGGAAGCTAAAGAGTTTAGTTGGCAGTTTCTTTGCATCGGAAAAACTCGTTTTTCATCTTCTGTTTGAAATATTTCCTTGTTTCAGTTTACTTTTGACTTCATATATTTATATTAAATCTGGCCTGTATTCCACCTCCCATCCTGACATAAATATTTTTCCTTCTTTCCTTCAGCTTAGGGATAATCCTGCAGCATTGCTTGCTTTATGTTGGTATTGGGCATGTGATGGGGTTGGATCTAAGGTAATTCTTAACAACATTACAGTTCTTATGTTGTCAAAATTTTAATTTTCTCATACTAATGGCTTCTCTTGTGGGGTTCTTTTAGGATATGGTTGTCCTTCCTTACAAGGGCATCTTATTACTTTTTAGTAGGTACTTACAGCAGCTGGTTATGGAATCACTTGGCAAGGAGTTTAACCTGGATGGTAACCGGGTATATGGATCCATTTAAAATGACTCATTCTGCTTTGTTTTAAGATGTACCTGGGAGATTATTTTTGGTTCGCTAGGGCCACTTTGTAGAAAAAGCTAAACTGTGGCACATTTTCTTGTCAATCACTTCAATTGCTTTTCATGGTGGTTCTATTACTGGATAAAGCATACGAGTTGATATGAGGACATTTTTTATTTCGGGAGAATGATTCGTGTTTTTTCATACATGATTGAGTCTTATGTTAGGAGTATACCTTGTATTATACATCTTCTTACTTATGTGTAGCCATTCTAATATATTAATTGTTGTCAAATATTTTGATCATTGAAGCCTTTTGGCATGATCAATGATCTGTAATTTGGTTGTATTGTTTCTAAATATTAGCAATAATTGATTGGGCCTCTAGTTATGTATTGATGAAATATCAGACACGTTTTATTTGTTGACTTAGCATGACTAATAAGTAGTAGAATTGTGTCCTGAGGAACGTTATTGGTGGCCCAGGCCTTAATTCAACAAAGTATATGCTTTAGCCCCTCGATGCATACTATCTACAATTTATTAATGTCAAAGCTTTATTAGATAAGCTTCAACTTATTAATGTCAAAGAACCAGAAACTTGTCAAAACGTGTTACTTGAGATCTTAAAAGTCAATGATGGTGAAGCATGATGCAATTTTATTGCATTTTGTTTTTGTCTTTGTTCTTCTTTCAGGCTTTCTGTTGAATTTCTTTCTTACATTGTTAGAATTGGTAAAAACACAATTTCTTTATTCATCAGGTAAATCAAGGATTATCTGTTTATGGGAATAAAGGAAGCACAGATCAGCATGCGTAAGTTTTCCTTGTACCTCTAAAATTGATATCCTGTATTGGTGAAAGTGAAGCTCGAGCTTGATGCAACTTTCCGCATAATAAATTTATAGCTATATTCAACAGCTGAGGGAGGGCGTGCATAATTTCTTTGTGACATTCATTGAAGTATTACGTGATAGACCCCCTGGTCATGACTGGGAACTTGAACCAGGTGTTACATGTGGTGATTACCTGTTTGGAATGCTACAGGTTTGATAAGTGCCAGTTTTCTAAAACGGCGATTTTAATGAGTTTTGACATGATAAAAGCCAATAATGTTTGCACTTTTTATTTTGCTTGTGTAGGGAACAAGATCAGCTCTGTATGCAAATGATCGGGTGTCCATCACTGTCACTGTCCAAGAGGTGACACCTAGATCTGTTGGGGCTCTCATAGCACTTTATGAGCGAGCAGTTGGACTTTATGCTTCGCTTGTCAATATTAACGCTTACCATCAACCTGGTAAAAATATGATTCATCTTCTATTTAGGAAATTTAGTTATCAAAAGGGACCAAGGAGAATAGTGTTTGGTTACTTGTCGGGTCATATCTTGCAGCATAGCTTTTTGATCTAAACATTCTTGTTGGGTTAATCATATTGATTGATCCTTTTTTCTTCTCTGTTTTTGGCCCTTAATTTTCATCTTAGGTGTGGAAGCCGGGAAAAAAGCAGCAGGTGAAGTATTAGCTCTACAGAAGCGAGTTTTAGCAGTACTTAATGAGGCCAGGTAAGATGCCGGGTGATTATGATCTTCTTGTGATGCAATTTTCTTGTCTCTTCCTCTGTTCAAAAGCTCGATGACTTCCCTTGGAATTCCCTTTTCAGGCAGTTTTTTGTTATCTTTCATTGGGCTTTTGGGGTGGATGAATGTGCGTATTTTGTTGGTTTTTCTGCTGATTATGATTTCCGTTTCACTTTGTTTAGCTGTGATCAACCTATTAAACCATTGACGTTGGAAGAAGTGGCTGAACGTTGCCATGCTCCTGAAGACGTATGTACAAAAATACTGTTTTTGAGGTTACTTCTCACGACTCGAGCAATAAATCTCTGTGCTAACCCTCCTCTGTTTTATTATTGCAGATTGAAATGATTTACAAAATCATTGAGCACGTGGCTGCCAATGACAGAGCACTAATTGCTGAAGGTGATTGTGGCTCACCGTATAGCTTAAAGGTTTTCCTAGGAGAGTGTAACGTGGATGAATTGTATGATTAAAAATTAACAATCAAATATCAAAATTCAAATTCAGGTTTTATGCTAGTGTTTTCAGTGGAGAAAAAAAGTATAATAATATTGAATTACCATGTATGTTATATTTTCTCTGAACCAGCCACATCCCCTTCTATCAATGTTAAAAAAAAATGAAATTCCACAGTTTCCAAATTTCTATTTTCACCCCGTTTTACTTTACATTTGAAATAAATCTCTTAGGGGGTGATTGAATCATGGAATTCAAGATTCCTAGTGGGATTTTTTTTTTCTAGATTTAAATTCCCATGTTTGGATGGGAAATATTCCCAATAGGGAGTAATAATATATTCCAAACAGTAAAAAAATTTCTCTTTTTTTCGGGAATGTTAATCCCTTGCTTTTCTTAGGTATTCTTGTATTCCCGTGTGCTAAGGGGCTAAAATACCCTCTTTTCCCGTTTGCCTCTGCCATATTTTCTTCTCCCAAGCGTTCTTTGTTCTTGAACTCCACGGCACAGATTGGAGGAGTATCCGATTCTCGATAAAAAATTTACCCTTTGCTCTTCTTACTCACTTCATTTGCTTTTAGGTTACTCCTTTTCCTTCAACCTTTGCTTATCTTTATTCCTTTTTGGTTTGGGCGTTTGTGTTTTTTTGGATTCCTGTTGAATCCATGTTTTTTTAATTTGATTTTTGGGCTTTAAATAACAGTTAATAGAATTGAAATTTCCAAATAATTTGTCCTTTTTTTGGTTGCAAACGAATCTTAAGTTTTAGTATTGAAATTCCCAGCTCTTGGATTGAAATCTACATCAGTGAGTTGGGTAGTGTAGTTGTTAGATGCTTTCGTCATACAAGGTTTGTTCATAGAATGATTTTCCTGGTCATAGCAGTTGAAGTCCACTGCTTATAGTGTTTGTGTTTGAATTTTGGAAAATCTAGGTAGTTTTAGCTGCACTTGTTGACCTTTCACCAAGCATGCCCGAAATATGATTTGAGGTTTAAAAGAATCTTGCAACTTGCAACTTTACAGACTCTACATCTCCTATATGGATCTGAAAACAGCAGTCATTCCAGTTTCCATTGTGTTCCTACTGTGATATTTTGTCGAACCGCATTGATGCTTTTGTGCCATTCAAATTGACCAAGATGTAGGAATTAAATTGAACACGTGATGAACTTAAATTGAACACATGATGAAATTTAGAGGTTAAAATATGAAGCTCGAAAAGTTCTTACTAGTAACATAATTTTACCAAATGAATACGTTCGTGAACATATAAACGAACATTAAATGAATATATTCGTAAGCACTATACGAACGAACACTAACACCTTAAAAAAAATAAGTGAACATAAATACCTTCAAAAATAAATAAACGATCACAAATACAACACTAAAAATTAAATGAATACAAATTAAACATAAATACTTATAAAAATAAATAAACAAATACAAATAAAATCCTATTCATTCAAACTTAATTTATTTACCCCAATAATTATGTATCAAAATTTTTATACATCATCTTCGTTTTTACTATTTACGCTTAAAAATCTAGTTTTTTACTCCAAAAACTAATCCTCAACAGTGTCAGTTCAAAAATTTGGTTTTCGCTACAACTTCTATTGTTAAATAAGACATCATTTTTACCCTACAAATAGTCCAAATAATTTGGAAATAAGTCAAATTTCAGACATGCTTACAATAATTCGGACATAGCCGAATTAGCAATCTCATGACCGATATCTTAGAATAATTCGGACATGGCCAAATTACCAGCCACTTAAAATTGTTTTAGAATTCTCTTTAGATACAAGTAAGCTATTTCAATTGTCCTTTGTGTATGATCTGAAAGAAATTAACGGTCTAGTATATTCAAAGTTTGGCCTCTGTCGGTTTTTGTATGTTTGGAGAGAAATTACCTGTTGGGAAACATGAATTATTAGGTTGTTTGCTTTTCGTAATCAAGAGTTAAGTACAAATCAGATTAGAACTGAGTATTAATAATTTTATTAAAATATTAGCAAAGATAATGATGAATGACGGTGAAATATAAAATTATAGACAATATGATTTTTAGTGTTATATTTTCTTACTTATTTGAATTATATTTTTGTAATATAAATTCATGAGATAAATAATAATGATAAAGTATGCAGAATTAAATATAAATATAAAATATAAATAAATAAATAAATTATTGTATATTGAAGATATAATAAATATTATATCTTAGATAACAAAAATAATTTACATCTTTTTTATTATTATGAATATCTATGAAGAATTTTCACAATGTAAACATTTAGTTAAATGTTGATGTAAATTTTTAATATATTTTTACATAAATTATGTAAATTTTAATATTAATTAGAATTAAAATAATACATGATATTTAAATACTCAAGTAATATATTATCAACAAATAGAATTTTTATATAAATAATTTTTATTTAAATATTTAGAATTTCACTTGTTAAAAAATATAGAACAATGACAAATTGGTAAAATATACATTCTAGTAATCTTTTATTCCTTCAACCAAACATTATAATCCTACATTCATGCCAAATCAACCAAACACAGTAATGTAACATTCCCAGTAATCCTATTCCCTGGTAATCTTTTATTCCCACTAATAATCTTACATTCTGTAAACCAAACGCACCCTTAAAAAATGAAAAATGCCCCCATACCCACTGTGAAATGCATTTATTCTTTTTGACCAGTCTTGAAAAAACATTAATTTAAAGAATAATGTTATTCAATAACCATCGATTTTCCTTTTTTAAAGGGAAGATGATGGGAATTGGGAGGTAATGGGGCTTCAATCGAGTCTATTTTACATCTTATTGTTATTATTAGGGTTAATATATTAGTTTATACTTGGATGTAATTTCAGGGCTTAAAATGATTTTTTCTCTTCAAATCGGTATGTTCTATATTTTAAACCAAAGCTGACACCTGAACGATAATGTCACACTTACTATTATTAGTTAGAGAAAATAACTTCAGTGGCCGAAAATGCCTTATAATATACGATTTTAACCAACTTTTTTTGGATTTGCGAAAATGACCAACAAATTCGCAACGCGAACTCCAATTTCGCAACTCAGTTTCCAAATTCGTAACATTGAATTTCAAATTCGCAACGCGAATTTTGTTTTCGCAACTCGATTTTCGAATTCGCAACACGAATTTTAATTTCGCAACAGGTTTTAGTTTCGTAACACAAATGTTTTGCGTATATAACTACGCAGCAACAACAACTCATAACCTAAATCCCTAAATCACAACTCATTCCATCTCCATCTATCACTCTTTCTGGCGACATCCGTTCCTATATCCAACGACATCCTTCCCCATCTCTAATTATTTTTACATAATTTTATTTCTATATAATTTTTCAATGATTTCTCTCACAAATGATCAACTATCAACTTAATAAAGGTATGCTTTTCTCTAAGTTAGTGATGATATATAGTTTATAGCTCGTTTGTTTAGTAAATTAATTTACAATTTGTAGAATGAAATCATCTAATGTTGATCATGTTTGGATAGATTTGTGTTTTGGAGGGTCATGGGAGAATGTTCATGGTGTTTTACAATATATGCCTTTACCCATGAATCTTCAACTAAAACTTTCATTAAAAAAGTTAACTTATGAAACTCTAATATTACGTGTTGCAAAGAAATTGAATTTAGAGCCTCTAAGTGGATTTAGGCTATCTTATCAGAGAAAAGATAAAGTTTATTTGTTAACCGACAATGAAGATGTTAAACGATTCATTGCTTACATTAGTGTTTCGCAAGAAGATGATGTTACATTGTATGTTGTTGAACCTAGAAGTAGTGAAGTTGGGTCAGTAGCGGGTAGTAATCAACTAGGTTCTTCAACCCCAGTTTATGGTGCTCACAATGTACAGCATTGTTATGAACCTCAAAATTTAATGGTTCCACCACAATTTCATCACCAATAAAATTTTGTTTTACCACATTTCCAATACCAAACACAATATAAAACACAATCTCAAAACCCACAACCTTTTCCTAATCCAAATCCCAATCAACTTTCAGTACCAAATTTCGGTTTTCGTGTTGACCAGTTAGACGATTATGAGCCAACAGAAAAAATTGTGAGTACTAGTCAGTATTCGAAATTTGATCTTGGTCAATACCATGACTTTGATCTTGGTCAATACTCGGATTTTGATGATGTTTCAGAAGAAGAAACAGACCCTGCGTGTAATGATTTTGATATTGGTCAATACCTGAATTTTGATGATGAAACATCCATTGCCGGTTAATGTTTTTGAATGGCAGGGTATATCGGGGAAATGAAATTATGACTGACATGAATGCTCGGTTCAAGATTAGTATCTCATATTCTCAAGCTTGGATAGCCAAATGTTATGCCTTGGAATTGTTGAGGGGGTCTCTAGAAGCATCGTTTGCCCAACTGTCGGCTTATTGTCACAATTTAAAGCTGAAAAATCTTGGGTCGGTAACTCATATCAAAACAGATAGAGATGGACGCTTTGAGTTGTTGTTTATCGCCATTGGTGCTGCGGTTAGTAAATCAATATAATTTTGTTGATTCATTTTTGTTAGTTACATGCATTTCACATTTAAATGATTATGTCTTGTGTATATTATTTTGTAGATTCATTCGTTTATTACTTGCATGCGCCCAATTATTATAGTTGACAGAGCACATTTGAAAGGTCGATACCTTGGAGTAAACTTATTAGCAGTAGCCATGGATGCTAACAATGGGATACTGCCAATAGCTTACGGGGTTGGCAAATCTGAAACCTCTGATTCATGTACATGGTTTATGGGGCATATTAGGGATTGCATATGTCCTATTAGCAATCTGACAATCATATCCGATAGGGCAAACTCAATTGACAACGCTGTTAGAAGGTGTTTCCCAGATGCTTTTCATGTACTTTGTGGTGTTCATTTGTACAGAAATCTAAAATCAAGGTTTGTTGGTATAAAAAATCACAAATGGACATACTGAAAGACTGTAAAAGCTTATCGAGAAGTGGATTTTAATAAGCATATAAATTGTTTAAGACATGTTTTGCCTCAATGTTCTCAAACACTAGAATATGTCTGGTTTGAAATATGGTCAAGAGTACATCAACTTGGAGCAAGATATGGTTTCATGACGTCTAATAGTGCATAATCAATCAACGCTCTAAGTCGTTATTCCCAGAAATTACCCATTACTATGTTAATGGAGTTTTTTTGAGCCTCTATTCAACAGTGGTACTACAAGAAAAGAAACCATGCATGTATTATTTTTTTAAATTCGTAACTTATCATATATTTTACTAAGTATTATTTATTTAAATTTACATGAACATTAGAACGTCGTGTTACACCATGGACTAAAAAAAAGGTAACGAAACGTGTTGTGAAGTCAACGCCATGGAGAGTTGAACCATGTTTAAACACTTTGTTTGAAGTATTGGATAATAACTTAAATGGGCTTGTCGATGTAAATACAAAGACGTGTAGTTGTATGAAATGGCAAACATCTGGTTATCCGTGTGGCCATGTTATAAAAGTTGCTCTTCATCTAAACCAAGATGATTCAAGCGCATACGCTATGGATTGCTACACTATAGAAGTATATTGACAGATTTATGCCGAGATTGTCTACCCTATTCCACATCCTTCTGAGTGTGACATACCAGATGACTTACAAACAGTTTTGCCACCAGTCATGGACAGCAGGCTACCTAGCCGACCAAAAAATCACGATCGTATATCATCTAAGGGTAGAGAGAAGCGGATATCGATATGTAGTCCGTGCAAGGAAAATGGTCATACAAGGTTGACCTGTGGATCACCAGTTCCATCACAATCATCTTTTCCTCTACCAAAATATGGATCCTCATCAAAATCCAAAGCTCATATGGTGCCAAGCAAAAGGAAATCAAAATCGCAATCGCAATCACAACCGGCTTCACCTTTTGGGACTTATTAACTTAGGTGATTTTTAAATGCAAACGTTGTATTATGTGTATTTTATGTGTGAATGCATACATTTCAGTTAGACATTCATTAGTAACTTGAGTTTGAACATTGCTATGATCTGTTCAGTTGTTATCACTTATCAGAGTTTTTGTTGTAAAAGTCAAATTCGCAACGCGAAAGTTAAATTCGCGTTGCGATTTTCGCAATGCGATTGTTGCGAAAGTCAAATTCGAAACGCGAAAATCGCAACGTAAATTTGACTTTCGCGTTGCGAAAGTGTAACTTCAACAGGTCTTTTTTGCCTTCAACATAATGCAAATTGAAATTTAAAACAACAAATCAACTTTTACAAATCAATTAAACAAGTAAAAAAATAAGGATTATTTACACATCAATTAAACAAATTAACTTTTACAAATCAATTAAACAAGCACAAATAATTCTTATTTCCTCATCAATTAAACAAATCAACTTTACAAATCAACTTTTACAAATACATCAATTTCACGCAGACAGTTGTTTATGCACAAATACATCAATTTCACGCAGCTTACTTCAGGATTAACCTGCAGAAACCAAACATTTGCTCAAACAACACTTTCTACACATCTAAAACCAAAAATCAACAAATTATTGAATTCTAGGTACTTAACCAAACATTTTCAAACCAACAAAGAGTATATATGTTAAACACTTGCTCAAACTTACCAATTGTTTATGCACACTTTCAGCACGCGGATGTAGGTAGACAGCATCTCGCATATATCACTCTAGTCATAAAATGCCGAAACCACAAGCCTATTGCACCTCTATCTCTATCTGTGGGAGGTAGAAACTGTTTACTTCCTGTCGTCAAACATTCCAAGCACATGCATACGAGAGGACCACAATCCCCTCTGGCTCCCTACGTTTGTTGTGGCGCGGTCTCGTCTCTGATCATTGTAACTTTGAACTTCTTTGGCATATTGTTTCTAGAATTAGTCCAATAATCAATCGCATCCAAGTATTTAGCCAAATGAGCGCTCCATCCCTTACAAATAATATCTCTCAAATCAGACAATGGTATGTAATTCAACATGCTGTCATATACCATTGTCTTCAGGGATGGGAGCTGAAGCTCGACGAGAAGCCAATGACGACGTTACAAAACAGAGATAAACACCTGCAATCATAAATAATAATTCAATTGCGCACATCAAATTTTTATTTATGAACACCTTTAAAATATTCAAAAATAAATACTAACCTTATCGACCTCCTACCACGCAGGATAAAGTTTAGCTTTTTCATTACCCAACACATATGAAGTGTCTCTTTGATCATTCAAGTGAGCTACGTGAAAAGACGTCGGCATAATAGTCCATCGCGTATTTTTTATTTTCTTTAATTTCCTTATTATCAGAAGACGTGACACCCATGCATCAATATGCTATTTTATAAAAAAAAATACATATATTAGTGAATTTCATAAATAAAAAATAATAATCAAAATGCAATATAAGAAGAATATAAGACTTACCCCCCATCGAAATAGCCATTGTCTTCAACCCCTAATAACACACCCCACCAAGACCGATCAAGAAATAAATGCATAGCATTGTCGAGTTTGCATATGTCAGCGTAACACCCCTGGCTCCGCTCATGTAGATAAAAATCAACTGCGGTCTTAGCCCAATGGGTATTATCCAGAATTGTGTCCGGTAGTGTTCTCCTCTCCACTTCAGATACCGGAATGGTACTGACCGGTAACTCATACGAAAGCCAACTCTCATCCATCATGTCGGGCACGTGAGGGGGTTTATCAATATGTCGACATATTATGCCATTTGAATCGGGCTCTCGAACAGTGGGAGAGATCTCTTGTACGATGACAAAAGCCTCTTGAACAGTGGGAGTGGCCTTTTGAAGGATGATAGGGGCCTCTTGAACGATGACAGTTGAATCGGGCTTCTTCTTACGGAGTCTTGGCACTATTGGGGTGAACGAAGACGTAATGGCACGTGCACGACGTCTAATGAGTGAATCCCGTCGTGCAAAAAAACCCGACGTAAAGCATTTACCTTATCGGGCCGCTAAAAATAAATTAATACATAAATCAGTAAATAAACAAATAAATAATGTCGAAAAAAGGTTATTTGCATTTTTAGTATAATATTAAACAAACTTACCTCATTCTGCAATGATGCAACAATCTCACGTAGAGCGGCTACCTCATCACGTAAAGTAGATACCTCACCACGTAAAGCACCATTGTCATCGCGTAAAACCTCTACCTCACCACGTAAAGACCGTACCTCATCATGCCATGCACCATTGTCTTCACATAAAGTACCGACCTCCTCACGCAAAGCATTGACCTCATCACATAACTCCCCTAACTCATCCAGTGGAGGTGGAGAACAGAGATATAAATGTCGTGGCATCTTTGACAATCGCCTATCATGAGGTGATGGTGGAGAAGAGGCTCGATGATGTGACAGAATAGGTGATGGCTCTCGTTGTGGAGGTGTATAATCGGCTCGATCAGGTGATGGCTCTGGGTGAGATGATGGCTCTCGAAGTGGGGGCTGCTCATCATCCGTGCCATCAAAAAAATGCTTACTAGCTTGCCACCAATCAATGGCAAGCTCAGCCTCTGTGGGTGTCGGCCTCTGTAATGGATAGTTGGCCTCCTAACAATATAAAAGCTCAAACAAAGTTAAATGTCTACTAGTAATAACTTGTTTATATATGATAGTATTTGTGTTAACTTACATCATTCATCGTCATATATGGTAGTAACTTTTCCCAATCCAACAACCAGATCCTCCTCTAGGAAATAACCCTAGGAATATCATTTGAATTTTTTATTGCATATGTCTGCATGCTGGGAAAAGCCTCAAATATCCAAATCTACAAACAATATAATACACAAACATTAGTAATTGTTAAATAATTAATTATAATTTTGGAAACATTATATAGAAATTCTTACCTCAAAGGCCCAAATAAAGCCTGCCAAAGTGTATTTGGAACCATGGCCACACAAACTTTTTCGGTCCTCAAATACAGAAGATAACTTTTTCCAGGTAGCTTTCCATAGATATGAACCCCACGGAAATATGTTACATGCATTTAGGTCCTCTACCAATAATATTAGGTCATCAGAAATAGGTTGTCTGGCCTCTTTGCCTAAAAAGACGGTATGCAAAAGTAATAAATTGCATACTCGGACAACATCGAGGTCATCCATCCGAGTAAAACCATCTTTAACAAATAATATTTTCAAGTCGTCGACGTGTAAACTCGGCTTCGCCTTTGCCAGCTCAGGAAAAACCCGAGATAACCATGATGGGCAGGCGATATGACTAGTGTACCGACCTACATCATCGTGTTCGAAGCGTATACCAGTGATTAAGCAAAACTCCTCCCGCCCAAAGCAAGTATACGCCGGAGGAAAATGAAACCATATATCTTTATCACCACGTTGTATCCTCTCGGGTAGATCGTTAGTCATGGTCTGAAGAAGCAAACGGGTCAACATAGTATCTCCACCCGGATGTTGTACTTTCAGCCATGGTCCGAAGCAAGTATCCTCAAACAATTTTCTTTGTACAGGTATAAGCGTCGACACAATTGTAGTGGCTAGGCTTAATTTATTCATTAAGGTCAATGAAGCCGAAAAAAATTTCTACAAAAACAATAAACATACCAAGTTAGATATACCAAAAACTACAAATTATACAATATTAATAGACATGATATTAAACAGTGAAAACAAAGTCAAATATGTTTCAAACTTGCACGGTATTCACCCAATTCATTATTCTATCATAGTTCACAAAATACATCAGATAACATTCTAGAAGTAAGCACTTATATAAACATTTAAAAGGACAACATATAGGTTTAGTGCAGGTTCAAGGACAACATAAAGAGTAGTAGTTTATTCTTGAAACTTAAATTTTCAACACTGTGAAGTTAGTATTTGTCTTTGTTTTTTGGTTGAAGTAATGCAATTCATTCAAGTTTCAATTTGCAGAAGAAGAATAGTTTCTGAAACTTAAAATCGCAACGCAAAAATGAAAATCGCAACGCGAATTTGGAAACTGAGTTGCGAAATTGGAGTTCGCGTTGCGATTTTCATTTTCGTGTTGCGAATTTAAGTTTCAAATAGTCTTCTGCAAATTGAAACTTGAATGAATTGCATTACTTCAACCAAAAGACAAAACAAAGATAAATATTAACTTCACAGGGTTAAAGACTAAACAGTTTAGTAGTATTGACAGCAACCGAATGAATTTACTAAGCAATCTAAGTGAAATAGTTAATCTATTATTGAAATTACCCGTAAATTTATCATCAATTTAAATATGAAAAATATAATAATAATACAAAAATTTTAAAATAAAAATAATTAAAAAAAACTAACCCTCGGTGGTTGATTTTCCATTTCTGACCGTGAATGGTTGTGAGGGTAGTTCTGAGAGATGGAGATAGACGGATTTCGCCGTAGATGGGGATAAATTTCGTCGGAGATGGGGACGGATGTTACCGTAGAGAGTGAGATGGATATGAGTTTGAGTTTTGATTTAGGGTTTTAGGTAATAATTTTACGATTATATTGTTTACATTTGTGTTGCGAAATTAATATTGTGTTTCGAATTCGAAAATAAAATTCACGTTGTAAAAATAAACACACTTTGCGAATTTGACTTCTGTGTTGCGAATTACAGATTCGCGTTGCGATTTACAGATTTACGTTACGATTTTAAAAACTGAATTGTAAAATTGGAGTTCACGTTGCAAATTTGTTGGTCATTTTCGTAAATCTAAAAAAATTTGATTAAAATCGTATATTATAAGATATTTTCGGTTACTGAAAATATTTTCTCTATTAATTATGCAGAACAAAGGACAAAAATAGAAGGAAAAAATAGAAAATTGGGAAAAGCAATGAATCTGTGGAAGAACATGTTGCTTTCACGATACTTAAACATGATTGATTTCGGAAATAAGTTTAAAATAAACACTCATCTTTGAACATATATATACATACAATATGGAATTAACAATGATTATCATTGGGGAGGAAATAATGACGAGACGGGGCCCACAAAGATTAGCTTAGTTGACCGCTCTCCCATATCTAAAGGAAGGAAAGTAGTGGAATTGACATTGGTTCAGGAATTGACATTGGTTCAGGAATTGTGATGCCAATGAATTTGAACTGCAATCAGAAATTCTTCAATAAAACAATATTTACAGAAGATGAAAATGCTTTGAGACATGAAAATCAATGGATCTGTGGAAGAAAGTATAAAAAGTATACATGTTACACAACCTGCAAAATACCAACCTTTGTTCTCCAAGTAGTGCAAAGAAATCAGAGAAGCTTTGATATGACATTACAAGAAACCCAGAAGGCCTTCGATGCAGCTCTTAGAAGTAGAGGGTTTTGGTATATCCTGTCCATAACCAACAAACAAATAAATGATAGTTATTTTTTAAAAAGAAAGTGACACTTTTGTTTAATAGAATAGTTTTTAGTTTATAATTTAAATGAATGAAAATGGGTTGGTAATGGTTTAGTTGGTTAAATACTTAATAACCCAACGAGTGCAACATATGGAACACTAGTTTGTCGAGATTAAAGTCATAACCCACCCAATTGCAGTTGCTCCCCAGGATGCCACGTTATAAATGACTTTGCTTCCGTCCCAAGCTTTTCGAAGCTTCCCCTTTTTCTTCTTTACAGAGAAGGTCTTGCTCAGTGCTACAAATGAAATTCAAATGGAAGTCAATTTATAATGCCAAATTAGTGATAAAAAATAGATTTGGAAAAAAAGATACCTGATATGGAAAATACAAATTATTCAGTGAAATTATATTTGTTTCTTTAAAACATTTAGGAAAGAACACAAAGACTCACCTTCCTGAAGTTGATTAGGGGTCAAATCCTGGGAAAGAGAAAAAAATTCATGTAACTCATTTTATTCAGTCAGCTAAAATGTAAGACCAAAGAAAATTTGAGATAAAAACTTTGAGACAACAAAGAGAGTTTCACATACCTTAGTCTGTTTAAGGGATAGCAAATATGCAGCCATAAAACATGCAATTCCTTCTACTATATCCTCCTGCCTAACAAGAACATAATCTTCTCGATCCAAATCAATATCTTTATCTTCCCAGAGATCATTTTCATCGACCATGTCCCAAGAACTACCTTCTTCTGGTTCCATAGAAGAATTTCATTAACAACCACACAACAAATATCTTTTTAAACAGAGTTTTCTTAAAAGCATGAACTTCAATATGTTAGTAATGCAAGGAAAATCCCACATTGGATGGAAAATGGCTTTTAAAGAGTTTAAATATATTCTTATTTACTTTCCTAATTGAATAGTGGGGCTAAAGCCCATTACATGTGCGCGTCACCACCCAATCCAGTTTGTATTTATGTCTTGTTTACTGTTTGATTTATTTTTCCAAGCAGCTTGTGCTAAAGTATCTGTTTTGCAGTAGTATTTTTCCAACACAATAAACTGAATACATATATATACATACATATATATATGTGTGTGGTGGGGGGGGGGGATAGGATCCAATTACATAGTGTAAGACTTTGTAGTTTTACACAGATTTAGGGTTGTTGGATGAGTGGAAATAGACTGCCTAGATTAACAGTAGGAAATGAGAAGATATCACTGGGAAAAAAAACAATGAGTTAATCTCAGCCTTCTATTTCCACTCATCCAACAGGCTTTAAAGGGGAACATCTTTGAATGCATACCTGAAATGTTTTCTGGAACTGACACCTGAGCACATGCTAGCTTTTCTAGGAAATCAGAGCATTGAACTCTAGATTTCAGAAGATCGCACAACTGTATTTAAAATAAAAGGGGCACAAACTTTTAATACCAAGTTATTTGGCAGTGTTTGATAAGAAAGCAAATGCAAACTTCATAAACATTTTCCTTTCTAGCAGGTTGCCTATTGCCATATTTACATTAAAAAAGAAGAAGCAAAAAACAAACAAATTCATAAACTCAAGTGTTTGAGCATATCACATCAAGTATAAGGAATCACTATATAAGTGGGATTTCAACATGTTGCCATCAGAAGATGCAGGTTGCCAAGACAAGTATAGAAGTTGAATACGGATGCAATCAAAATGACATCAATGAGACGAAGGCTAAGAGGCAAACTGATGCCTAAGCAATGAAAATCATATCTAAGATGACATCCAAGTTATGTATTTCTCTATTTGTTTGGTTCAATTCGATACTGACAACTTATGTATGAATATATATATATTATGCCCTACAAACTCGCAAAAAAATCAACATGGAAAAGCCAATGCAGCAATGCTCATTGGTAACTTAAAAGTCTACCAAAACTACACGTTGTCAATAAGCTTAATGCAGCAGCGGAATAAAGTACTTTGACAGTTGACATAGATACGCAATTGATACATCAAAAACCAGACCATTATCCAGAAGAGAACTACCAATATATGTTTAATTGTATCATTCAAGCTAAGTTCAATTCAAAATCCAATTACTCATCACTCATGGAAGAAGCACGTTAGAAATTGAGTTCCGAATTTTGTTAAGCCCGACTCAAAAATTTCACAGCACGCTTAATTGGTGAAGAATTAAATTTGGGATAAAAATAGGGTTCATCACGCCTGATCTTTTGTTTGTTTCTTTTGATTTACCTTCATTTGTTCGAAATTATCTTCCACAATTCCGAATTTAACAGAACATAGAATAAGTTTATACAAACTAAATATTCAAAAAGAAATTTAAAAAATGGAAAAAATAATTTCGACCAAAAAATTAAAATCCATTGTTTTTATGAGCTAAAAAGGTGATCGTGTTAGATTCTCAATTAGAATTCCTCTCCTTCCCTTGGAGCCCAAATAGAAACCTAAAGCGGATAATAAGCAGAAAGAATAAAACAAACCTCATCGACTTCTTGATCTCTTTGAAGACCGACTCCGCTGACTTCCCCTTGAGGATCCACGTCATCTTTATCGTCAGCTTCATCTTCAACATCGTCATCGTCGATTCCTCCTTCGCCGTTACTAATCAATTCGATAGCTCTTTGACACTGTTCCAGCACAGCTTGCAAAGTCTTCTTCGTAACACGAACCTGATCTTTCTCGTCCAAAACTTTTCCCATCATCTCCCCACCTTGGCAAGATTCGCTGCTAGAGCCAGCTACCACTATCTCCATGTTATCAACCCTAAAACAAATCTAAAAAAATACACCGAAGAGACTCGAATTTTAGATCAGATTAAATCTATAGGACTTGAAATTCCTCTAGCACAAGGGGATCGAGAAAAAGAATGAATTTATTTATTGTTTTAGAATTGGTGGTGAGGAAGAACGTGTTTTTGCTTTTGAACTTTTTTACTTTGCTTTGGCAGTGAACACAGAGAAAAAAGGAAAGTGCACAAGACGCCATGTCAGCATTGGAGCTGCTTCACGCTGGATTCTTGAGATCCATTTT